TCCGTTTCTCCGACCACGTGACCAAAAGAAACGGAGGCTCTGGGGACGAGAATGCGTTCGGGCGCGACGCGAGTCAAGCTCTTTTCGCGTTGTCTGAAAACGTGAGTTTTCGCTTTCATTTCCTCTGCCGTGTCAACGCTAAATAACCCGTGTTACTAATTTCGAGGACCTTTAATGCTTGTTTTCTAGATCTCTTCTTATGTGAGATATCTCATTTTATAGAAACGTCGAGAAATCTGAAGCGAACTCAAGCCAGTCGGCGAACATGTGAGTACCGTGAAATATCTTTTGAAAGCTTATGTAAATAAAGACAACTTACACGAATTTCAATCGAAATTTTTCCTTTCAAGAAGAACTCAAATGTCAAATGGCTAATTATGGTGAAATTCTAACACATTTAAAACGGTATACACCATTAAAACTTGTGTAGCTCTTTCCATTTTCAGTCGTAAGATCAGTGGTTTACTTAGATCTTTATCAGTCGGCACACATTTGTCGCGCCAGTCTGATTTAACATCTGCTGATAATAAGTTCATTTACTTCATTGTACAACTCAGCGAGAAGGGGCAAGTTGCGTTTGTGGAAGCGAAATTAGGACACGTAATCGTCGTCTTGAAACCATCGAAGTTAAAATCAGGAAAGGAATCATAAGGTTGGTCGAGATCATTAGACCGGTTTAAATCGTTCAAGAGTAGAAGTTCGTCATCGTTTAACACACCCTCATCGTGGATTATCAAGAGCTGATTGCGAACTTCTTTCAACGAAGTCATCCTAGTTCATACTGATAAACAGAGGACGAATATCAATAATGTCATTAAGCTTGACAGTGCGGAAACCCTCGATTTTCGACGGTGCTGCTTAATGTTTATGAATTCCCGCTACAACGGCCTTCTCTCCCCTTGAACACGATATCAATGCCGTGAACTTCCCTCTTTCACTTTGCATAAGTTCGGACAGGAACTTGCCTGTTTTAGTTGCCAAAATAACACCATTGGAATCAATTACCTCTAGTGTTACTGAATATTCATTATGTTCGCTACCAAATAGACGAACTGCATGCAGCATTATGCTTTTATCAACCGAGATAAGCATTGAATCGCGATAGCTAGTACTGTTAGGATAGCACGAATAAGACCAAACGCCATTACATTTGTCTAAAGATTCAAACCTGCTTATTATTCGGCGATTATGATGAGAACCAGCTCTTGGAACTTCAGAAAATCCCACAGGAAACTTCAATAACGAATTAAAATACTTCATCAGTTCGAATGACTCTTCCTTTGTCAGTATATCACAGTCAAGGACAACATCGGCGAATGCCTCTTGCTCCATCACAGGAAAACGAATTGCCTTAACGATCCGTTCTCCAAGGATCCTTCTTTTACCTCGACCTTTTGCTGCTTGGCCTTGCTTTTCACATTCCTTTGTAGCCCAGCAATCGACAGCTTTGAATAACTCCACTTCCTTCACATTCAACGAATCTCTTTCGACTAATGTCTCCAGCAATGATTTCTTGATTGTCACGAAACCATCCGATTTCACAGCTTCGTCTGTCTGGTTATCGATCACTTTCCAGCAATGACATTCAAGATCTTTTTCTTCGCACGTCTGCGCGGCTGGCAAAACATGGAACACGTTTGACGCATCCAAGTTTTCTCGAAGGAACTCTGTACACTTGTCAGCGAGGGAAGGAAGCATGTATTTCTTGGCCAAATACAGCACTTGCATGACATTGTCTCCGTTCAAGATCACTTTATCGCTGTACATGAAACGAAACAACTCCAATAGGCTCTCATGATCGCAATCAGAGATATCGATTGAATCTTTCTTCTCGGCCAATTCGCCGTAAAACATGGCATAAAATACAGGGCTACTGATCGCCAACAGGAACTTGTGAGCTGGAATCTTCTTCATGCTTCTACTTCCGTGTGCAGCGTCTCGAACGACAAATTTTACATCGCTCAAGAGCTCGTTGTTGAACATGAACTTGCATCTTTCTCCGATAGTGCATCTGGAAGTTGCACTCCAAAAATCTTTACTGGCCACATCGAGAGACATGACTGAACTATTAGGTCTGAAATTTCATGTTATAAAGTGTAAGATTCTTACACCCGCTTTCAGTGTTACGCGCATAGCAACTA